GGTTAGTTTACAGTTTTGGAGCTGCTCAGACATCGCCTTGATTTGCCCTTGCTTGAGGAGTCCTACTTTCGCGCGATCTTGCCACGCCAGTTTCCCATCCTCTGAGTGCCTGGTCCATCGTTGAAGGTCGGTCCGGAAGAGAGAGCATGCTTGCGTGCAGCTGCTGATTGTCCTCTCTGACTCTTTACTAACATCTGAGCCAAGCAACTGCCACTCCCTATTCTCTACGCTTTGGAGAAGGCTAAGCGCTGCATCAACAGAGTGGACGTCCTCTAGCAGGCGCCTAACAGTCTTTGGTGCGTCTTTGAGCTGCTGTAGGTCATTTAGAAGTAGTCGTACGCCTTCTAAGGCTGGCGCAGTGATGCCCACGACTGCGGCTGTAATGCTAAGTGGGTCGGCCATTGTGGGTCTGACGGCGATTGAGGAATCAGCAAGGGTAGAAATGCTGAAGTAGAAGTCAGACTTAGGGGGAAAGAGGATAGAGCAAAGCTTGTTAGCTGACAGAATTTGTATGAGGGGAAGCTGGGGCTGAGAGCCGAGAGCTGAATCACATGAGGCTGGGTACGACTGAACTGTTACTACAGACAGCCTACTCGACTATCGCATACCTTACAGCTACACTATGGCGCTAACGGCATCCTTTGGCGATATGAACTATGGCGTCCAGGCCGGCATTATCAATGGTGATGTAAACACTATGATCAACCTTCCGCCTGGTGAGTTGCGAGACGATCCGAGCTTAACAGCGCCAGACCAAGCGCTAACTGGCGGGCCTCCGCCTAGAGCGACGCGAAACTCCACCAGAGCCATCCATCGTGATACCTTTCGCCCGAGACGCAGATTTCGTCGACAGAGGCACACTGCTCGACGAGATCTGTGAGCGATGCGCGCAGCCAAATGCAAGGATAGCGCTCGTCGGACTGGGCGGGGTAGGGTAAGCAGCACGAGTGCTTCTTGGACACGGAGCACGATACACTGACAGATGCGCAGTAAGTCACAGCTAGCGATCGAGCATGCCTACCGCACGCGCGAGCAGTCGTCAGAAACATGGGTGTTATGGGCCCACGCTAGCAATGCCGCCCGGCTGGAGCAAAGCTTTCACGATATTGCCGACCGCGTCAGGATCGTAGGACGTCAAGATTCGCAAGCCAACATCTTCAAACTGGTGCACGACTGGCTGTGCGACAGCAAGCAGCCATGGCTGCTTGTGCTAGACAACGTGGACGATGCCAGCTTTCTACTCGAGGCCCAACCTGCCAGCTCCAAGACCGCAGCGAGACCGCTGCGCGAGTACCTCCCCTACTGTGAGCACGGCTCGATCCTCGTTACAACGCGAAACAAAGAAGCGGCGCTGCAGCTGGTGGAGCAGCGCAACATCATCACACTTGATCCAATGGACGAGGCGCAGTCGCTGACGCTGCTTGCAA